ACCAAGTGGAAAAAATGGGGGCCCTTTTGTCAAAAATTGGATTTTCAAGGATAGTTGACTTTTGCCATTTCACAAAAATTTCCCAACCTCTACAAGGCATAACTTGCTCAATTTTTAAGCTTTTCACATGTTCTTGGACATTTTGGAAAGGTCTTTGAGTCCTTTAACCAATGCCTTTGGTCCCATGTCATTTTGATTCACCAATCTCAAGTCATGGCCTTTGACTTAAAGTCCCTTTTTGTTGACTTTTGAAAATGACCTGTAATGTTGAAATTGATAACTTTTTGTGAGAGCATTTCTTGGACTTGAAGTATGAAGATGAGTTGTAGGAAATGTCTTTCTCTTCAAAATGAGCTTTGGATGGAATTTTTCTGATAATCCATGTGAAAGTTATGCCCTGGTCAATTTCAGTTGACTTTTTCAGCTGTCCAAATATAGCAACTTTTGCATCTTTGATGATTTCTGAGCCAAATTTTGAGAATCATGATCAAGCATTGATCAAATGATGTTTGTGGCTTCAAAATGATATATTGACCAAAAATTTGAACTTTTGACTGCCAAATGACCATTTTGCCCCTACAGTTGACTGTAGTGCAATTTAGGGTTTTGACTGTACAATCTTGAGCTGAATGCCTTGAAACTTGATATGAGGATGCTTGACCATCTTTGTAAGCATATGAGACTTGATTGGACCTTTGAACACTTCCTTTTCTTGATCAACACACAAACCCTAGTTTTGACTGTATGGAGGCCTTTGCATTGTGCAACTCTTGGGGAATTTTGTAGCTTGGCTTGGCAGTTTATTGGAGAATATGGGAGGGCAAATTTTGGGGTACAACAGAAACATACTTGCCCGATTTAGGATATCGTAAGCGCTCGTCATCGACAATGGGACACAGTTCACCGATCAAGGGTTACAAGACTTTATCGCCAAGCTCGGCACCAGACAACACTTCACTTCAATTGAACACCCTCAAACAAACAGGAAGGCAGAGGTTGCGAACAAAGTCATCTTACATGGACTCAAACGTAGGTTGGGCGAAGCCAAATTGGGGTGGGTTAAAGAGCTACATTGCGTCCTATGGGCATACTGAACAACAACACACTCGATGACTAGTGAGACCCCATTTCGGATGACCTATGGCACCGAGACCATCATCCCCGTGGAGATTATGGAGCCATCCAGGCGAACTGAAGTCCCCATCGACGAGGAATTAAACAACGAGGCCCTAAGAGAAGAGCTCGGCCTAGTCGAGGAAATCCGATCAGGGGAAGCTCTTTGCGAAGCCACGCTGAAACAACAGGTAGCTCTTCACCATGACAACAAAGTCATAAAACGCGAGTTCCAGGCCGACATCCTAGTCTTATGGAGGAATCAGAAAGACTCCCGTGAGGGGAAGCTGGCCACGAACTAGGAAGGACTATACTGCATGCACATGGTTATGGGCACCGGGGCATACTACCACAAACACTCAAATGGAGAACCGCTGCCTCGACCATGGAACACTACTAAATTGAAACATTATTACAACTAAGTTTTTGTCAAAGCGTCGAGCATTAGCAGTCGACTGGTCCTCTCTAACAGACGACATGACACGCTCGACCGTGGAGGCATGTCGAGGTACGAGCATATCCTCTAAACATTAATGAAAGCCGGGTATTGTTCATTTCTCGAGTAGAACCTTAGCCCAAAAGGGACACCTCGACCGAGCTCTGCTGTCAAAGTACCTAACTGGAAGAACACCCGACTTGTGATGGGCAGTTCACGCCACGAAGTCAAGATTCCGACCACAATATTTAGTTCTTCCTGCGGATTCCTAGACCGCCTCCTCGACACATCACAACATGTGCCGACCACAACCAAGGTCGAGCAAAACTCTCCAGTCATAGAAGTACCAACTTTCATGAAATAAACAAGTCAAGGACAAAGACAAGCAAGTATCTAACAAACATCAACAAGGGCATAAAAGGCAAAATGCAAGCATTTATAAATGCCGACCACGAAGGCCAGCGCTGTTTAAGTAATTACAAAATTTATAGGCACGCAGGCCACAAATCCAAACTAAAACAAAAGGGGGCATGTAGGCCCGAAAACAAATCAGATCCCATCCTCCCTGTCACTGTCCGCCACAGGGCTATCATTGGGGGGACAAAAGATTTTCCCATCAACCACCTGATTGAACGGCCCCGCACCTTTAACCACCAATTCGATCCCAAGGTTTAATATCTTGAACTGCTCCACGACTGTGTTAAAGCCACAACCGAGGGTATCCACAACATCTTGCTCGAGCACACAAATGTCCGTGATTAGGTCTCCCCTGGTCGTAATGGCTTTCTCCGCTTCGGTCTCTTCGTCAGCCGGTGCCACGATCCCCTCCAGCTCTTTTATTCTAGCGATCATCCGCTCGTTCTCTTTGGTCGCAGCATCCAGCTGAGGTCGCATCTCGTTTAGATCCTTGAGGAGTTGAACCTGAGCCTCATACTTTGTTTCATGGTTGAGGATGTCGCCCTTTAGCTTCTCATTTATGCCTTGCAGCTTCTGAATTCGGACGTGCGCTTTGTCGAGGGTGGCCTGAGAGCCCGCAACCTCATCATTCAGCATCAGAGTCGTTTCGAGCACCCTCATCATGGCGGCCACGTCCTCTGACAAGTTGTTCCTCCGAGTTTCCTTGTCTTCAGACAAGATCACCTCCCTTTCTTCCTCGTGGAGACCTAGAGAGTTCTCCCCGCTAAAGATATCACGGTTGAGATAATAGAGAGGAAACACGAAAACTACCCTGCCCCCCTTATCACTTTCGGGCACAATGTACTCGGTATCCTCCACACGCTTCCTCTTTACCGGCGGCTCGGGAGGAGGAACTTGGGTTTTCGAGGAAGAAGGGGAACCACTTGCACGAGCAGTGGATTTGGCATGCTCCTGAAGTTGAGTTACCCTATTCTTAGGTCTCGAGGTGGAAGAATTCTTGGACCTTAACTTTAGTAGACGCTCAGAAAGGGACGCCATCCGACCTGCAATCAAAAGGAAACTATCAGACACAGGCTAAACAAAGACGATATCATGGGCATGTCCCCTGCATAAAAGCCAAACATATAAAGGTACGGTCACAACCATATACCCTACCTAAAATCCTTAAAGCCTCCTCGTCTGAAGAACATTCGAGCAAAGCTTTCGTATTGATCAACCTATTAACGAGGAGATACTCCCCTTTATCATAAATGAGGAGGTTGTTGTTCACGTCCACGCACCTTACCAGTGAGAAACTCTTAACATAAGACGCCAGATTCTCATATGAGAGTTGATCCTGGGCATCTAAGTCCTCAGGTTTCACCGCGTAGTACTCGGGCCTTTGCTCGAAATGTTTCCACCGCCACTTAAGCGGAAATCTGGTCACCAACCAGACTACTGGTCGACCATTCTCTATCTCTTCCGAGCGGTCGTACAAGGAAGCTACAGACGCCTCTATTAGAGGCTTCACGACAAAGTACCTCTCTTTAAAATGGCGAACAGATTCTAGATATGGGCGGAAGAGTTTCCCAAACTGTTTAAAAGACACCCAAGCTTGCCCCCTCTGATGGATTGCCTTTTCAAATTGAAGATACGAAAAAAGAGGGGCAGTGTGGCGCCTATTTGAAGATATTGACAAATGAGGTCAAATGCCTGCATGAATGCAAGCGCATTCGGGTGAAGTTGGGAGGGTGCCAATTGTAACCATTGGAAAACCCCCACTTGGAAGTCATTAAATGGCAAACGCATCCCCATATCCTTGAAAGCAAATTCATATATAGGGAAGCGCTTTCCCGGATACGACGAGCATATCCTCCTATTTCGATGAGGGATTTATATATCCCAATTGGAGGGCCCCCCATCTGCTAGAACCTTCGGACAGTTGAATGTGTCTGACGCATCATGCAAGAAACACGAACTTTTATTTCTAGTTTCGGGCGTAACCCAGGCCAAAGGGTCCTCCACGACATTAGTTTCGTCTTCATGATTGGCGGGAACGGCGTCCTCCTCGATTGGATGTGCCATTATACCTGAAAAGTAGCGTCAAACAATGAATTCGACATCATAAAATTCACCCTTCCACCGCAAATCAAGTGAAAGGGCGATGAATCCGTCAAGGAACAAACTTTGACCCAAGCCCTCGACTGCCACACTGAAACAAATCGTGCCCTACTCAGGGACATTTGGTCAAACGGGAAAAGCTGCCTGAATCCACCCTACTATCCGGAAAGAATGACCTCGACGCTATGAACTTCATCCACTACCATGAACTTCAATGAACATTAATGAATGTTCATTGCATAATCCATGAATGTTCATCCAAGATTCATCCACTCAAGATAAAAACTGGGTGTTTAATCTAAAATTCCAAGAAAACATGTTATCAAGAGGATATGACTTACTTGGATAAAGAATGTCTTTGAAGAATTCTACGGAGAAGCTAGGAGAAGAGTGCAGAAGAAAGCTTGAAATTAACAAATGAACCATGGGGTCCCCTTTTATAGATGGTTCACACCCCACGAGGCTGCACACGAAAAGTCATCATTATTTTGGGCTTTTTGAACTCTCCAACAAAAAGATGGCACCCCAAAACAACTTTCATGTGGCGTTAACAAGCAGCCATGTGCCCACTCTTGAAGGCGAACTTATCCCCGACTTCAATACGAAACATTGTTCCCGAGCATATTGAAGACGTTGCACACTCAATAACGGGCAAACACGCGACCCTGTGATTAAACCTTACATACGGGCACGTTTATCATGTTTTGCTCACGGGGGAGAGGTAACGCTCGATATTGTAGCGCCACCCTGTGAACGGGCACGTTTATCATGTTTTGCTCATAGGGGAGAGGTAACGCTCGATATTGTAGCGCCACCCTGTGAACGGGCACGTCGAAAAAGAAAACTCGGGGAAACTCCTAGCATCCTACATATTCCTGAAGGGCACCAAACGAACAAATGATTTAGTAGACCTCGTGTTTTCGGGATCCCCAACATGGGTCAACAAGTTATCCCCGACACAGATCAACAAATTATCCCCGACACAGATCAACAAATTATCCCCGATGGAGGGTTACAATTTCCCTTCTCAGGCGAGTGTTCCCCGACAATAAAGTTGACCTTAAATCATCACCCATTCACCTAAGGGCAATAACTTGGGGGGCTCATGTTCTCGACTGGGCCAACATTTGTCCCACTGTTAGGGAGGCCCAATCCAGCGTCTTTGCCCAAGGCCCAAAGACATGTAGCCAAAGCTGGAGACCGTTGGGCATTTTCCCACGTGTCCGCTAGGAAGACGTTGCCCACATGTCCATATCGTCATCATACTGCCTTCCGGGAATCACGAGTCTAACACCTATTTTCTCGAAGCAGTTGACTAGGGAGGAGGCCGCGTGCTGGACTCTATACACACGTAAGCCCTGACAGTCTTTGTTGTTGGATCTCATTGTAGCCCAATATTGAAGACCTTGGCCCAGTGTTGTGAGCTATAAATACACTCTCACTTGAGAGGGTCATATATTGATTCATTCACACTCTCATACTCACTTACTTGCATTAGCTCTGAACTTTACTTTGACATTAGAGTGTCTTGCATGTACCCTCCCCCCACTTCACCTTTCACTGCTGCTCAACTTAAAACTTGCGCCTTTGACAATCCATTTTAGTAAAATATGATCAATATCATATGAAATAATAAATATAAGAAAGATGGTAATAATATTTAGAAAATATATGATCTAAAAAATAATTTGAATATAACATTGTAAAATGGTTTAATTAAATAATCATATAAGTTTTAATTATTTTGTAAAATTTTCTTAAATTAAATATAAACAGTACTTAATAAATAATTGAAGTATACTATACTCACTCTATCATATATTATATACCGAAGAACTAATAAAAACACAAATTTAATAAAAAAATAGTTATTAGTAATAAAATTTATAAAATAAATATAAAAATTTAGACTAATAGATGAAATATATATATATATATATATATATATATATATATATATATATATATATATATATATATATATATATATATATATATATATATATATATATATATATATATTAAATTTGTTAAAATTCATTAGTAACTACAAAAATAAAATATATTTTAATTTTTTAATCAAATTTGTAAGTTAAAACAATAAAATTCTTATACTTCTAAATAATACTCTTGTTTTAAATGAAAATAAGCAATATATATAATGTTCTTATATTTTAAAAAGTCATATTGGTAAAAAAAAATTATATCAAGGTTATCATTGACTCTTTCTTATAAAAGAATCTCTTTTAAATTTCAATGACTTCAATTTTCTTTTATTGTTTCATTTATAATCACAATTAATAAAAATCAAGGCAATCACTCAAACATAGTATATCTATCACAATCAATTTTTTCTCATGAACAACTATATGTTATCCTATTAAATGGTTACATTAAAGAAAATGTTGAAGATGTTGTAACTAATGGAATATGAAGATTTAGATACGAATAATTTACAAATAAGTACATTTAATAATATTTTTTAGTTAATTAACATTCATTTCTTTAAATTTATAAATTTTAAATTATTATAGTTTTTTAATTTATTGTCTTTCATATTAAAAAATTAATAGTATAATTTGAATATTTAAAACTAACGGATCCTATTGATCTAGGTGATATTGATTTGTTAGACTATATACAATAGTTTGGTTATTCAACACAAAGTGTGATATGTAAGAAAAAGAAAAAAAGCAAGCATTATTTGGCTATTGATATACCGTGTTAATTTATCTGGTTTTAAAAGGGTTATCCTCTCCGAAACACAAAGTAAAAGTGTTATGAATTCCAGTTCAATAATGTGTTTCCCAAAGTTGATTAAATGCGTGATTATCGGTTTGGATGGCACCTTGGTCAACACAGGTACATAGATACATGTTTCATCATTTCTCATTCCATAACATAACACTATCAACTATCATTATTACAGATGCCATCCTTTCCTTCCAAGAATATGCTAAACAATGGGATGGAAGAGAACCCCTTAAAATTGCTGCCAAAACACCTTCTGCACTTCCTTGCTCGCCATTCCAGTTTGTTTCCGAGATTTCACCACTATTGTAGCTATGATATTCAATTGGAAACCATATTCATTTTTCTCATGTTAGGTGCTGCAACGTTAAAGCGCTTCCTGGTGCCAATCGCTTGATTCAACATTTGAAGACCAATGGAGTTCCAATGGTCTTAGCTTCCAACTCTCCAAGGGAGACCATTCATGCCAAAATATCCTTTCACAACGGTATTCATTTTTTTTCAAAACCCTTTGTCTTCTTCAAAGTATGGCCTACTTGATTAATTTATGTTCATTCCATTCAGGATGGGAAGATTCTTTCTCTGTCATTATTGGAGGAGACCAAGTTCCAACAGGGAAGCCTTCCCCTGACATGTGAGATGCAAAAAATGTTTTTGTTTATCCTTGATTAACGACTCAGATGATTTTCTTCTGAAAACTTCTAATTCTGATTTATTGCGTCAGATTCTTTGAAGCTGCTAGGAGGTTACGCATGGAGCCTTCCAGCTGTCTTGTCATTGAAGACTCTTTGTGAGCATCCTTCTGTTCCAACTTTGATTTATGTACCAGATTCAAGCCTTCTTTGATGGTTTAAACCTTCTGTTGAAAATTTTATCCTATCATTCATTGCCTATTTGCCACATATGTTTTTTCTAAAAGTTATCTACTTGGCTACTTCAGACCTGGTGTTACTGCAGGTAAGGCTGCTGAAATGGAGGTGGTTGCTGTACCATCACTCCCGAAACAGTCTCATCTCTTTACTGCAGCAGATGAGGTGATAAACTCCCTACTTGATTTGCGACTTGAAAACTGGGGTCTACCACCATTTGCCGACTGTAAATCCTGAATACCTTAAGATAATAATATTCTGTTTGTGCATTTCCTTTATTGGTATCACATTTTCATTTGAACTAGTTTTATGAATTATTGCAGGGGTGGAGGGAACTTTGCCGGTAGATCCTTGGTATATTGGTGGTCCTGTTGTAAAGGGATTTGGTCGGGGGTCGAAACTACTCGGGATTCCTACAGGTTCGTTTTCAGATTCACCATTTTCTTGTGCAATATGGCATGAAACTGAAACGTAGAGGAGCCAAAAGATGGGTAACTCAAAATAATGCCCCGGAGGTTTATCACTATTTTCTTGTGCACCATTTTTTCAGCTAATTTGTCAACAAAGGACTATTTAGATATCCTTTCAGAGCATCCTGCGGGAGTCTATTTTGGCTGGGCTGGATTACCAGCAAGAGGTATTTTTAAAATGGTGATGAGCATTGGTTGGAATCCATATTTCGGAAACAAAGAAAAAACTATAGTAAGTTGCTTACTTTAAGCCTCCGGCTATAACTATTTACCTCGGAATTTTCTTATGATATAGTTTTTCTTTTAGGAGCCATGGTTGCTTCATGAATTCACCGAGGATTTCTACGGGGAAGAACTGCGGCTGGTTATAGTTGGTTACATACGTCCTGAGGTAGAGCTTGTCTTGTCTTGCTCTCCATCTTTTGAATTTCTCTAAAATTGGGCACTGTGCATTGCAGAGAAATTTTCCATCCCTTGAAAGCTTGATTGCTAAGATTCATGAAGATCGCATAGTTGCTGAGAGAGCTCTTGATCTCCCCATGTATTCTAGTCATAAGAATGATTTATATTTGAGAAGCTCATAGTACTGATTTTATTAGCTTCTTTTGAAGAAACCTCTGCATTTGTACTAGTACCAAAAGCAGTTTTGTTGTATTATTTCCTGCGATTCTCAATTACCACTCACTATAACACATCAATTTGTAACATGCATAAATAGTAATGAAAAAGCCACTATTTAACTTTCAACATTTGTTGTGCCCATTGGGGATTTTGATCTATTACATCAAGGCAACAAAAAAAATGAAACAAGATCTATTACATCACACAACGTGCTTTGGGGATTTTGTATTCTTTGATGATTGTTAATGGAATGTTTTAGATCCGGTGACCAATGTTTTCGCGACTACTATTCATGATCATCCCATACATCTATGGGATGATGCTACATCAAGCCAGGTACTTAACTTATTTGACATATATATTTATGTAGCTTAAAAATCGAAGTAATCTACCTATGAAGCAGAAACATCGGAAACACTACACCGACAATGACACATCGACACCAGTAATAATTTGAAAAATAAATAAACTAAAAGTAATCTCAAGTGTAGTGGTCGGACACGGATGCCTTTTTTTAGAGGTGTCAGTGCTACAAATTCGATATCAGTCTTGCATGGAAAGATTTTAAAAAGCGTTCAAGGTGATTTTCTGATAGGGCTACTAAATACTATTAGCTATAAAAAATTTGCAAAAAATTCTGTAACATATATGATTTTAACCAATCTCTGACATACAAATTTCTTGAAGGATCCTTGTATACTCTGCTGGGATGTGCGCAAAACTGTTGATTGTGTCTACAAGTACTATTCTCTCGCCTCATTTGACTGTCTGTATTTTTTGTGAATTGAAGAAAAGTATGAAGTCTTACTTCTCTAATATACAAAACTGACTCGGTTATATTTCAAAAGAGTGACATAAGTGCAACTTAGTCTACAGTAATACCCTGAAAATAAAGGATTGGTTCTCTATGGTAGATGCTACATAGAAGAGCACGTGGATGTAAAGCTAAATTCCCATATTAATTACTAACTGCTAATGCGTGTCGACAATGTCAATAGAGAAACCTGTGTTTTTGCTTACTAAGTTGATATTTGCTATTATATAGTTTTGTACTAAGTTGATATTACATATGGAGAAGACACCATTTGTTTCAAGTTTGATCTATTCATATGGTTATAATTTATAATCATTTATCAACTTTGACTTCTTTTTTTCAAATAATTAGCCGTTAGATATATCACAAATATAAACTAATATAATCCATCAACAGTTATTCCTTTATCCAAATAGTATATTCAAAAACAAAGTTAACATGACTAGAATTTTTAATAGTATGTAGTTATTATAAACTTGATAAGAAAACATGTTATACAAACTTAGAATTCATTGCTAATGTTAACTTACAAAAACTCATACTATGCAGCATTTCTGTTAGCTTCTGTGAAGTTCAAGGATGAAGAATCAGTAAAGGATCGAAAGATGCTTTATAATTGAATTCGAAGTTGTAGAATTATGAGTTATGGAGAGAGTTCAACAAAAGTTCTTTGGCTCTCTAAAACTTGTCCAATGAATTGGATATCACCCTCTATTTAAAAAAATACAAACTTTACAAGGAACCATTAAAATGAACTTCATTGATCTTTTATATAGTACTCTTATAGTATTCATGGATGACATATTATCCATTTTGCCACAGATACATCAGTAGACCAACATATGTCACATTGATGTTTTAAATAAACCAACTACGCTATGTACATACAGTATGAGAGATAAATAATTTTTTAGCACAAACATGAGTGGACAAAAATTTCTTGTTGTAAGATAATGCATAGATTTCAACAAATAACAATAAGCAAATATAGGTATGAAGAAACTAATACAATTGATATAAATATTAAAAATAATCTATCAATGGATACAATGAAGTTCGTTGCAAAATAGGAAGGATAAGTTTAAAGTTATAAAACCAAAACATGACAAAATTTGTTCATGTTCATAATATAATAAAATCTGAGAATTTCTTTTCACAGTCAGTGCACTTCTTCGAGATCTCTGACGAAATTTCTAAAATATTTTTCGAATTCAAGTATCCAATATCTCTAATTTACAGGTTGCGTTCGGATGTGCATATCCAAGATATTTTTGAGTTTTCAAATTCTCTAAAATCTGATAAAGAATCCACTATAGTGAATGAGATTATTTTTTCTTTTTGATGTATTTCATTAACTTTGTGGAGGACAATAACCATTTACCTCAGCATTTTCTTATGATATAGGTTTTTCTTTTAGAAACCTTGGTTGCTTCATGAATTCACCGAGGATTTCTACGGGGAAGAACTACGGCTGGTTATAGTTGGTTACATACGTCCCGAGGTAGAGCTGTTTACAACATTTCTGCATCATGCTTGTCTTTCTCTTGCTCTCCATCTTTTGAATTTCTCTAAAATTGGGCACTGTGCATTGCAGGAAAGTTTTCCATCCCTTGAAAGCTTGATTGCTAAGATTCATGAAGAGAGCTCTTGATCTTCCCATGTATTCAAGTCATAAGAATGATTCGTATTTGAGAAAATCATAGTACTGATTTTATTAGCTTCTTTAGAAGAAACCTCTGCATTTGTGCTAGTACCAAAAACAGTTTTGTTGTATTATTTCCTGTGATTCTCAATCACCACTCACCATAGCACATTGATTTGTAACATGCTTAAATAGTAATGAAAAAGACCACTATTTAAATTTCAATATTTGTCGTGCCCATTGGGGATTTAGTATAAGACATGGATATTTGAAGAAGTTTTCTGTATTATTTTATTAACTGATATTTTGCCTCTTATACAAGAGTAAATGTGACAGTTATAGAGATTCCTAAAACCTCTCCATGAGGCCACTAACATGATATACAGACCATGATTTTAGGCATGAATAAATTAACAGCATTGACCGAGTTTAGTTGAATAAATAATAACAAATAATTAAATTAAATAACATTAATTTAATTCTCTAACATGCCCCCGCAAGCTGGACGGCCGACGGAAAAGTCCGAGCTTGTTGATGATAAATTCAAACTGGGGACGGTGGAGAGGCTTCGTCAGAACATCGGCGAGCTGGTCGCCAGTGGAAACATGAGTTACTCGAAAAACACCACGTTGCACATTCTCCCGAACAAAGTGATAGGCGATGGCAATGTGTTTCATTCTGGAGTGGAATACAAGATTGGATGAGAGAAAGGTGGCACCCATATTGTCACAATATATGGCAGGTTGATGGATCCTGTGATGGAGCTCTTTGAGGAGAGACATGAGCCAAAGAACTTCGGATGCAGTGTCTGCGAGGGCTCGGTACTCGGATTCTGTGGAGGAACGAGCCACAGCTCTTTGCTTTTTGGAGCCCTAAGAGATAGGGGTGGAACCGAGATAAATTATGAATCCAGTGGTGGAGACGTAAGTGTCCCTGTCACCAGCCCAGTCGACATCGGAAAAGGCATGTAATGTTGTGGATGGGCTGGGAGAAACAACGATGCCCCTGTCGATAGTTCCGACAAGGTATCGAAGCAAGCGTTTGAGAGCAGCCCAGTGAGATGATGTGGGATGTTGCATAAATTGGGACAGTCTATTGACTGCATATGCAACATCAGGACGGGTTAAGCTTAGGTATTGCAAGCTGCCACGATACAACGATAATCTGTGGGTGAGGGAAGTGGTTCACCTTCTGTTTTGAGTAGGGGAGTTGATGCAGAGAGTGGTGTTGTGACTGGTTTGGCATCCTCCATGCCAGCTTTGATGAGCACATCACTGATATATTTTCTTTGAGACAAAAAGAGGCCACCAGAGTGATGTGGGATTACTTCAACACCCAGGAAATATGACAAGGTGCCTAAATCCTTGAAAGAGAATTGTGCAACAAGGCGTTGAACAAGTAGGGTCACGACTGTGTCGGTGTTTCCGGTGACGATAATATCATCCATATATACCAATAATACAAGAAAGATTGACTCACTGGAATGGATGAAAAGTGACGCATCTGCCGCAGAGGTTACAAAACCAATTTTGAGTAAAAAGGAGAGGAGTTCAGTGTACCACGCCCGCAGTGCCTGTCGAAGACCATACAGAGCTTTGTTGAGCCGGCATACATGGTTGGGATGAGATGGATCTGTGAAGCCTGGCGGTTGGCATACGTACACCTCCTTAAAAAGTGAACCTTGCAAGAACGCATTGTTGATGTCGAGTTGACGCAAGTGCCAACCCTTGGAGACGGCTAACGTAAGAATGACTCTAACAGTAACCGGTTTGACCACGGGGCTGAACGTCTCATGGAAATCCCAGTCGGGCCGTTGATGGAAGCCTTTTGCGACGAGCCTTGCCTTTAGACGATCAATAGAACCATCTGGAAGATATTTGGTTCGAAATACCCATTTGCTACCAACCAAGTTTTGTGTGGGGTGGGGTGGAACTAGAGTCCAGGTATTGTTGGCGCATAAGGCATCATACTCCTTTTGCATTGCTTCCCGCCATGATCGATCCTTGAGAGCTTGCGTGATTGTTCGTGGTTCAATGGGTGGATGAGGAGTGGCAGAGAGGTTCATCTTGTGGAGGGGTTGAAGATGTTGTTTTGGGATCGAGTGACGATGCCACGATCCGGGATGATTTGAGTGGGTGGCGGTGTTGATTGTGGTTCTGGGTATGAGGACTGAGAGGTAGAGGGAGTGGCAGCGAAGGGATTGGATATAGAGGATGATAGAGATATGAGTGGATTTGTTTGAGAGAGGCCTGCAGAGCTCGTTGGACTTGGAGAATTAGGGGGGTTGGGAGTGGAGTTTAGTGAGCCTGGTGATGGGGTAGGTGGATAACTAGGATATGATGAGGCTGATTGGGACGGAGATGGAGGTGGCCTGGGACATGGGAGGATGGGTACTGATAAAGTGGTCCAATTTGTATGTTGTTCTGAATTTTGTGTAGTTTTGGGTTGTTGCCGAAATGGGAATTCGGTTTCAACAAATTTGACGTGTCTTGAGGTGTAGACGCGTC